CAATAAATTCTCACACAAAGAACTATCAAAACTTGTTTGAGTTAGGTTTTAGGGTTTCTCTACCTCTCTATTTATACTGCTTAAAAAATTACCAGATTAACATTTGATAATGATTTCATAATTTACTTTTACTACAATAAATTATGGTAGTTTTACTAGTTCTTCATACGTGGCATCATGACATTGGCTTACCTAAACCTTATGGAAGTTTCTTTTTCAACATGCCATTTAAGACTTTCAAATTTCTAAAACCTCAATTTATTATTAAGTTAGCTTTAGACTTTGTCTTAATTTTCTTTAATTACTTAAACCAATCAAAATTAATCATGAAATCAAGAGTATTTTACTTTAAAATCTAGACTTTTGTGAGAGACAAAATAATAATGCTCAATCAAATTTTCTAATTTTTTATTGATTATTTCTCCAATTTTAAACATCATAATTGAACTTAGTCATTATTAGATAAATTTAGTAATAATTAGATATACTTAGTTATATCTAAACTAATCATGATTAACTCATTGGTTTTTTAAACTATAATTATTTCACACATGCAACAATCGGTCTTACAATACTTCTCTTAATAAAATCTTATAACGTATTTTACTCTTGAACATTTTCTTGCACAGTTCCATTGAAAACATTTTGAAATTCACATTATCAAAGAGATTAAAAAACTTCTCATATCAAGTATAATTTAAACTTAAATCAATATATACATATATATATATATATATATATATATATATATATATTGACATCCATCAAGTATTTGGATCTTAACAGATTTAATATCCTCAATACTACATTATTAATCATTTTACATAAAAAGTAAACCGTTTGATGTTGAAAAAATATATAAAAATTTCTTAATATATCAAATCTTATATAAATAAGCATTGTTCATGATCCTTACATCAACTATATTCTTTGATAAATTGCATAGCGTATATCTCTAGCATCATTTATTATCTTTGAACAAGTCATCTTTCTTAGCATCAAACTTTTGTCCACATTGGCTAAAAAAATATTAGCATCTTTGGTCTTGACAAGACATTACTTTTTGACATGACTATTTTGTAACATTTCTAACATAAAACCATCATACTCTCTAGAAATTTACTACTAGATTTGAATCTAACTCTAGATACTATGCCCCTTCATATCCTTGTTGTTAAGCATATGACTTAAATTTACTAAATGTGGGTAAAATTATCTATGTATTCATATTTATACTTAGATAATTTTACCCAATACAAAGGTTTAGTATGTAGAAGTAAATTATGTATGTTGTATATTGGTTTTTTTATTTTGTGTGTGTTCATTGTGTGAGTTTTGAAATTATAACCAGAATATTGAAAAACTTCATCCGTAAGAAACTATTATGTTGGCAACAAAGTTTTTACGTTGGCATAGATGATGATGGACAATGATTTCAAATCGTCTCTTTGATGACCAATGAATGGATCCATAATGAGAAGAATAAAAAATAAAGAGATGACAAAATCATATGCACAAAAATAGCATACAATGATGTCAAAAGCTTAAGATTTGATTTTCTCATGTGAGATGATTCTATTTCATTCAAGGCATAAATTAGCTTCACTTAAGTTCTAAATCAACTATTCAAGCATAAACTAGCTTCTCTTAAGCTTTAAATTAATTCCTTACTTTTGAAAAGTAGATCAAATAAGCCAAATTTAAAATTCAAAAAATCAAAATACTTAATCCATGAAGCCAAGATATATTTTTTAAAAGAAAATTATTTTATAGAAACAAAAATTTAGACACATTTTGAAACACTAAAGAAAAAGCAAGACAATTGACAACTTTCAAAAACTTGAGGTGACAAAATATATTGCAGTCAACAAATAAAACAAATATAAATGTTGATGAAAGAAAAATGACAAAGTCAAATGGCAAGATACAAATAGATGACGTTGAGATGAACAAATATTAGACTCATTAAACACATATTTGACAAACAATGATTATTTTATAAGAATAGAGAGTTAATATTCAAACACTTTTCAAAAGTTGATGTAAAGAATGAAAGAAATTTTTCAATAGGAAATTTAAAAATGTGATCTGATTTGATTTTTAAGTTGAAGTTTACATTTGGAATGTCGTTTTTTAAATAGGATAATATAATATATTTTCTGATCTATTTTTCAAAAAAAAGAAAGCTTATAACTTGCATTAAGATAGCCTAAATTCAAGGTTTGGCTTTCAAAAGTAGTAACAAAGATTGTCAAATTAAGATTGGACGTAGCAAACCAAATAGCTTAACAATTTTGTTACAAAATACACTATGTAACAAAATTGTTACAGAGTGTATTTCTCAATGAAATTAAATAAATCACAAGGTTTTGAATGTGAAGTTTAGAATTGATTAAGATGCGGGATCAAAAATTTGTAAAAGATCTTGTACACCAAAATTTTGCATATTGTCGTATGATACAAATGAAATTTAGAACTGGTTGAAACATCGGATTGAGATGAACATTTAAAATTTTACACAAAATTTTACATATCACTTTTGGATACAAATGAATGAATGAAAATAAAATATGCACAAAATAATTCTAATGAGTTGAAAATAAGAAAATGAAGGAAAAATGCAAATAACTAGTATAACGAGCTAAAGAGACTAACCTCTAGCAAGATCATAAGGGATTTTAGAGTAGACTTATACACATGCAACATCTTTGAGCTAACCAAGATTAAGTTAAGTACAATACCTCCCTAGTTGAAGTAGATTAGTTTTTAAAATTAATGATGCACAGAAATGAAGAGTATCAATGAACTTCAAAAATGAGATCCAAGTCATTTGATGCGAAGAATCATTTAATATTTTGGATATAGTTTGTATGTATATATATATATATATATATATATATCATTCTTACTTTTGTAAAGATTAGTTTGATAGAGCGAGAAATAAGATTGGAAATTAAAAGATTTTAGTAGGATGAATCAATTAATCTTAAATTCGGTTTATAATTTTAATTTAATTTAAGATTAAAAAATCATTTTTAGATTTGTAAGACATGCATTTGAACAAGCTTAAAATATAGCATGAAATTTGAAGTTTTTATGTAATAATTTATTTTTATGTTATGAATATTTTTATAATCTGAGAAATTATTCAAAATTTTGAAAATTGTTATCATTCATGATACAAATACTTAAATTTTGTAACATGTATAATTTTTAATTTTAAAAATAGTCAAGAATTCAAATTATTTATAAAAAAATAAAAAATCTGAAAACGAAATTATATTTATTGTGTTAAATAATTAAATATCAGATATTGAATTTTTTCAATTATTTCTAAACAAAAATTAAAATAAAAGATTCAAAAAAGTTAACAATACTTAAATTTTCAAATTTTAATGCTTTGTATTAAAAAATAAAAAAATGTAATTATGGGTATTTTTTAATTCAAAAAATTAATCAAAATTTAGACATTTTTTAGCAGATTTCATAGGGAATATCATGATTTCTTTATATATCAATAATGTTGTACGAGCTTGATTTATGCGTGATTGAGAGTAGTAACTCAAGTCACAATGCCAAACTACTCATAATAACTCAGGCTTTTAATTCATTTCTCATCTACTATCGTATGTATCAAAAAGTGTTTCATTTGAAATGTTTGGAATCTCATCCATACTTAAAGTAAGCAAAATTTAATACTTTGTATATGGGATTAACATAATTCAAGATTTTAATTGCTTTGATAATATCTATTAGTTCTGTATCATATAAGTCTTGTAATAAATATGTGTATATGTTTTTCAAGATTTTATCCATGATGTAAAAACTATATTTTTTAGATCAAAATTTTATATTCTGTTGATTAACAAATTTGTTAGATGCATTTCATTTCAAAATTTTCACAAAATATAATAAATATATTATTTGGAATTTTTATTTTTTGATATTTTTAAAAATATATTTTGTAAAATAATCTTTAAAAATTATTATTTTTACCATGAAATAATTGTAAAAAATCCAAATTTTTGTGTCTCTTTTAAATATAAATAAAATTTATTTGAAAAAAAATAATACTTTGATCAAAATTGAGCTAAGTTAAAATTTTTATGTTTACATTTAATTCAATATTTTTTGAATTATATAATCATCTTTTTTATTTGAAGTTTGAGATTTTACTAAATTTTATCAAGCAACATATTAATACCAAGTTAAGTATGATTTAAGATTATTCGATTTTCAGTTCAAATGAATCGTTCAAGAACTACAAGTTTTTTTAATGACACCTATCATTTGTATTGCTAGTAATTGTTTAGATTATTTAAGAAAAATAGAGTGTACGGGTCATTTGGTAAGATTAGGTTAATAAAAATTCAAAGTTTTATCTATTGATGTACGATAATCTTTCAACCTTTGTAATAACTTTAGTGTGAAGCTTATGCAAAAAAAAAAAACCTCTTTGATACGTATTAATGATATTGAAAACCTTATGTTTTAATAATAGTTCAAACTAATTTCCCAATAAATCCAATTCTTTGAAATTTCAAGATGTGGTTTAGGTAGACAATTTCCGCATACACAAGACACCATTCAGTCACATTAGTCCTTATTCAGAGAAAGAGTGGTGGAATAACTCCAATTGGTTGAAGCGGTTGGATGCGGCTGAAAGGAGGAAAATGTAATCCATAGGCTAAAACTTGAGGCTTATAGGAGTAAGCATGCTAGCAAGAAGTCACTTATTGTTGGCGGAAGAAGTTTATTGTTGATGTTCATAATGCTCGGCTGGAAATAATGTGGGTATTCGATATGAATATTCATTACAATCATTAGTTCGTGTGACAATTCACATATTTGGAGATTCATTCTACTAACCTGTATGTGAACAGTATGTGAAACACATTTGAAATCTAACGAAATATATTCGAGGATTAGATGCGAAAGTTGAAAGCAACTTTGCAAGCTGAACCGAGCCGATCAATTTGGTGCTCAATTTTCTTATCCGTGATATGTTTTCCGGGCTCGTCGACTGCCAGAAGCAAGGCTTGAAGAGAATGTGGACGGCTTTCGTGGCCAGTATACAGTCAATCCATGATTTTATGGAAAGAGAGGATGACTGGAAACAGTAAGAATGCCCAAGTTCTTCCGTGTGGTGGTGACATAAGTGAGAGGAGCAGCAGGAGCAGCTACGGGGAGAGGAAACAGGAAGTTAGCTATGGCTGCGTCCATGCAGATGTTGAGTGTCAAGCTCTTTCTTGTCACCCACTGTCTGTCGCGGACATTGTACGCACCTCGTCGTTTCCCAATTCCCGTATTTCGCATTGGACCTCAAGTTGATGCCCTGCGTCGTTCATCAGGAGGTTTGCCTCGTCAAACAGCCCACATCAGGTGGTACTGTCTTGCGACGAATGGTGCATATGAGGCACCCGTGGAATCGAATGAATTGGAAGATGATTGCGATGACAATGAGTCCACTGGGGAAGAGGATTTTAGGAAGTTTCAGCAGATTGATAAGAGTAGGAGTCGGGTGAAGGATGGAGCATCGAATGTACCTCAGAATTACTTAGAGCTTACAGACAAGGAACTTTTTGCTCAGTGCAAGATGGATACTTACAGGGCCTCTGGCCCGGGAGGACAGCATCGCAACAAAACTGACAGTGCTGTAAGGTTGAAACACATTCCAACCGGATTAGTGACACAGGTAGGCCTTATTTTTGTATGTCCTTAACTTGACTCTTCGGTTGGTGAATATAATTTCTGATGGAGGATTAAGGGTTCTGCTGCTATGGTAGAGGGCGCAATTTTCAGAGCCTCCCGAACTCAATTTACGAGATCTCACGGCGTTCAAATTCGTTTCAAATTCTGAACTCTGAATTAGTTATACTTCGATTCTTACTCTCCCAAAACATTAAATTCGTAATTTCACTAATTCAGGTGGTTTGATCTACTAAAATTGCAGGCTAGTGAGGATCGATCACAACATAATAATCGTGCTTATGCTCTGGGACGACTACGACAACTTATTGCTACCGAAGGTTTGTTTCGATGAGACAGCACTCAACTGATTTTTTTTTTTCAAATATAAGCTTATAATTTTTGTTTCAGCGACTATCACTTTTTTACTCAACTGTAAGGAATGTGAACATACTGAGAATGATGACACATTTGTTTCAGTACGGGGAAGTGTGGAGTTGGAAGGGTATAAGCCACCTCTTGAGGTTGTGCGCATACTACCCTTCGAAAAGGGAGCGCGGAAGGACAGACTTGTTCAAAAGATTGGTCCAAATCATCCTGATTTTGCTCAGGTTATATTTCTGCTTCGTCGTCCGTCGTATCATATTCGTGAGCTGTGAATTGTTTTGCTCATAGTCAATGTTGCAAGTCTGTCGTGAACAGCTATTTCCACTTGAGCATACTGACCGGATACGCTAACGAGCTTACATGTTTCAAAGGCGCATCTAATGATATGAATTACTTGTTTCAGGGTGTGAAGGGCTTGCTCGACCTGCTAGAGGCAGTTGGAGGCTCAGTGTCTGATGCCGCCGCAGCGTTAGGGTACAGTTTGATTCCATGCACTAAGGAACGAATGTTTTCTCGCCTTTGTGTGTCATATTCGAGTCCTTCACATTTGGTCTTGTCCATATCATCTGCAGTTGATCTGCAGACTAATGACAGGGTTTTTGCATCTGTGTTATACTAAGTAGTTCCGAATTGAGTCACTTGTCCTACCTTTGTTTCGCTTAAGTAAAAGAAAGTAGGGTATTCGCATTCTACTGTTTCCAGGCAGATTGCTGCATTGCCTTTTGGAAAACCTGCTGGGTGTTCATTTCAAAGAGATTTCGTTGACAAGGGTTTGCTTCACCTACAATAGACCAATAGTTAGTTGTCTCTTTTCCTTCAGTTGGGAAATTGTTACGTCGTCCTGTTGTTTTGAGTTTTAGTATACGCATGAATGCGTGTGAAGGATTTATATTGCATTTTGGAGTTTTTTTTAGGATAACACAGCATGTTCGGTTGGAGACCTACTAAAGTCTTGTTTCATGGGGATGTTCAGGCTAACCACAGGCGCTTTATCTAAGCTAATAACGTCAGATAGAGTACTATGGCAAGGAGCGAACAAAATCCGTGCTTCTAAGGTGATTATGGACTCTATACTGCCCTTGAAGGTTGACGGTTGTTTTGCGTTCAATATGACCTTTGAGATGGACTAGATTACAAGATTCAGTGAATCTGATTTTACGGCAGCGGCTTCCAGAGTTTCTTCGTGTAAGAGAAATGTAAGCCTGCTGTACTAGAATCACAAAATATGGTCACGTAACAACTCCAGCAAATGCTGACCTTTTGAGGGTAATCTTTTAGTCAAGTGAATGTTCTTTGTTCTTTCAGGGTCTCAAGCCTTTGCGTTAGTGTCTTGAACTTTGACGTCAACTCTCTGGACATCACCATCTACAACTTGTCAAGCTACCAGTAAGTGGTAAGTTTTCTGAAATTTGTTCGATTATGGCGACTGCAAGTTTTTTGTAGTGAAGTCCCTTCTATACCATCCAGTTGTTCCGGCTAGGAATATACTCACGAAATTGATTCTTTTTGTTTTGATCTCTGTCACCTTCTGCGTTCATCAAGCATCAGCACACTCGATGCAGTTGACAATGTATATTGAAGTTTGACAGTTGGTTCTGGCAGGTAGGTAGTTCTATGGTCTGACATCTGCTCAGCAAGTGGGAGATGTCTTATGGCTTCAATCATGGTGACTGGCTTCCCAGCAGGCTCTTCTTATCAATGCGACTGTGGACATTTTTAGGGTGATTTAGGTATTATCTATGGTCCCATACGTCTCAATAAGGTGGCATTGATTTGTTAGATAACGCGCTACGGTCGAGAATCAGAAAAGCCTCAAAAATGTTAGTGCAAGTTGGTTCCTCTGTTGTAAGACTGTACCATTACATCGTCGGCTCATGAGTCTTGCAGATCCTCGTCAACCATCAACCATTTGCGGGTGTTGGGTAACCTGATTGGAGATATCTGTTTGACTTTCCCAGTTTCACAAACGGGGGCGGACCGTGAGCATCACCTCTGCTTCTCGGAGCTTAGAGATAATCTTATAGGATTCATTCACGTTCGTGTTTCATACAGGTACATTTGTCCATTTCTACAGCTGTATATTTATGCAATAGAGCAATCCCGGGTCGGGTCGATGTGTTATATCGGCAGATGTATCTGGAACCTCTACTATGTTGAAACGCACAATCTTCTAAAATACCCATTTTTTAATGAATGGACTTATGACAGTGTGTATGTTCTAAATCATATCCACAAGTGATTCCCTTGCAAAGCATACAGCACCAGAATCCTTCTTTTTTTGGTATCACACAGACCCATGAACTAGATCCGACGAGTGCTCCATATGAATGAGCCCAAGAAGAAAACTTTGGATATGGATGAACTAATTGGAGTGGGATTTTCCCGTTATATATACCTATATGTACCTGCCAGAACTGCCAGAAATGTTCTTAATGATATAATAAACAGCAGTCTGAGCGTCCCAGCCACGTAATTTACAGCTCGCGGTATGGTTTTCCATGTCGCTCTCCTTGTGATTCAGAGGGACAACCCTCTTCAGAACTTTAGGTTCTTCTTCAAACAATAAATTCCCTGGAGATGGTGCTTGAAGATGAAGAGTTCGAGGTTTATTGTGAGTGGGAATTGCAGTTTGATTAAACAGTTTCTTTGCGTGACCAGTAACTGGATCGGTCGCTAACGTTTCAAAAGGGCATTGGTTCCATTTACCTCCAATGACATTTTTGTTGTCCTCGCAACGTACTGCACCTAACTCAACGAACGTCAATCAGGTCTTCCTTTCCTTTTTCGAGTGTGCAGAGCATCGAGGAGAATTCCAGTTCACACCAAGTGATATGTAGCTGTCTTGTCCACTTTTCAGTTTATATCCTTTGGTGTTACATTCGTTTAGACTACTTCATGCATCAAAATAAGCTTCGAGTTGTTTTTTGCCGAGGATTGTGAGGACACAGTAGTAATGATGCACCACTCCTGATGCTGTCCTTCTCTGAGATCCAGATGATACATTGTCCTGCCACCTCCAGTTTGTTCAACTGGTTTAAAGTTTTATACATCGCTCTCTGCTTAGTATACAGGACTTTGCCTTCATCTCAACTGTTAGTGACTTTTCCCTCTTTAACATTTTGTTAGTTTGATATGAATTAATAGCTTTATTCTGTCGTACAAAGCTGACGTATCTGAAGATGATATTTTCTGGTCTTACCTTTGTACACCTTAATATCTGTGAATCAGATTCATAGTCTTTTCTTCCCTATCGATGGAAACGCCGAAAGAATTGAGTGCATTTCGGCGTTTCCTATCTTGAGATTGACACATATTTTCCATTGTTCCCAACCGTCTTATGCTTGTTCGGTAACGAACTATTCACTGAAACCGAAATCTCGTACGATACTTGATCACTGGAGTACGGAACGTTCGATCGCAATTTCGCTTGTGCATAATACGGAACCCATCGGCCCACTCTTGCTGAAGGAAAATTGGAGTTGGAAACATTTTCGTAAAACTTGATACGCAAGCGGAGAAAGTTTCTAATTGTGATCTGGATGAAGTCTTTCTCCTTTTAAACGCGTTTTTAGGCACAAGTGGAGAAAGTTCGTAAGAGTGTCGTTTGAAAGGACTTCGGTCCTCTAATTACCGAGGAGTTTCCAAATGTTCTAGAGAACTTTTCGAGGAAGTTTTTGAAGAATAATGTAATACTCAAAACCAATTCTGGAATACGAATTTTAAGTACCATGGGTGACGCACAAATTTGAAAAATATGGACTTTTATAGGAGTATCGCTCGCACAACCAGGTCACAACCACCGAAAGCACAGACTATCAACTACGGGAAGGCACAAGAATCAGGAGTCTGACTCTCGTACTCCAGTATCCCACATGTGCAGCCTGAGCTGTATACGGACCAATAGTCACGAAGAACTGTATGGTGTGTACCGTGGATACTTCATGGACTCGAGATATACGGAGAACAACGCATTAATACCTGAAGCTCGTAATGCGGTCCCAGGATAGTTTGGAAGTGCACTCTGCAAGTTAGGTGATGGAACGCTTCACCAACGGAGATCTAGTGATTATCCGAACTGACTGGTCGATCCGCGCGCAGCGCACGTGCTTCTTCTAGCATCCATACACGACTTAGAGGAAGTCTGAGAGACCAAGCGCGCGCATGTACATTGTCATTCCGGTAATGAAACCAGAGATCTGTTTCTGAGGTGCACTTGCCAAGGATGCTGGAAGATAAAAAGACGCTGAGAGATGGGAAGCTGGTTTAGTTATCCGATTCGGTAAAAGACGAACAATGGCGAGAATCGAGGAGGAAAAGGGCAAGAGGAAATGGAGCAGTGGATTTATTGCCTCGATAGCATGGGAGTCAAAAGTTTCCACGCAGCGCCTTGGATCTCAAAATCAGGGATGGTGTGAGTGAGTGTGGGATTGTGTCATAGATTACCTGACCGCAGTAAGTAAGAGCTGCCACCGCTCACCGAGGTCTCGACATAAGATCAAAGCCACAACGGGCATAGCCATAAGCTCACAGTCAACAGTGTTTGTTGGTGACGATGGAACTTCCAGGCTGTGGCCGGGATCGCTGACGACGACGACAAGTTCTTGGCTCGACTCGGATTGAAAAGTGCGACATCTCTAACCATAGCATACATCGATAACCCACCCAAGCCGAGCCAACCCACACGCACGTATTTCAGTCAATCAATTAATCAATGACACTTCGCCAGTATGAGGCTGTGGCACGCAGCCTCATCCATCCATGCACATGAAGAAGATTTCAGATGCATCTACCTCCTCACGATCTGCGATCATGAGTAGATCATGCTCTTCTTGATCACCTCTTTCTATATCTACTGCAAAAAGCCAGCTCTCAACCCTTTCGTGCTTCTTGTCACCGGCAAGGACACCAAACTTCCTCCCTCGCTCCTCGTACGTACACAACCGTATACCATGGCTGGCGCAACAGCGAGATCGAGATCGAGAGAAAGTACGTGGAACAAGGTAAATCCTGGGTTGGTGGCCGGCTCGCTGCAGTGAGAAATATCGAGAGGACAAATGCGAGGGTGGTGTCATATAATCAGGCCAGGGACTATCCTCTCTATCGAATCAAACGCAGGTCGTGGTGCAGGGCAGTGGTTAATCCAGTCCACCTGAGCTCCAACATGCTGGGGAATAGTGCCTCAGGAGATACATGTCATCTGTGCATTTACAGAATCCACCCTCTACCTCCACATTTGTCTGTCTACCTGCACTGCACTCGCGGACCTTGCGAGAGGGACGAGGTTTGGATATGCCTCTTAATTCCCGAAACCGATTCTCTTGCCGATATTTCCCTTGGCAACCAATAACTCAGCCATGTGATCTGCAGGTCTATCCTGTTTTTAATACAAACGTACCCTTCCTCGGGTCTCAAAAGTCCGACACATCATTTCGGCCCAGCCATCCCTCTCCAATCCAAACACCTCCTCCGGAACTATCATAAGCAATTTTAGCAAGAGTTTGCAATACTACGAGGTTCTTCGTTGGATCAGTCCACCACACATCTGCATCTCAGTTAACCAAACGTAAATGTGGTTTTATCGTTAGACATGGCAAGGATCCAAACTACTCTTAATCCATTCGGAACGGAACGCGAAGGATAGATTTGCATGATACCATTGGAAATATTTATTATTGCAAGAGTGATGAGATCTCACAGAGGTTAATGTCAGCATTGGTATGCTCTGTGATTGACTCCATTAGACTTATACTTATTGTGGGAGACCATGTCACTACTATTTACATTATAATTATTACTATTATTTACTCCAATACTGACGGCGAGTGGAACCCCATCTGCCAAGATCTTAAGGGGAATGCGAAGAGATGAAATTTTATATCTCCGGTTTTGCAGATATATAGAGATAAGAATGCCGAATTCAACACATTTGTGAGAGCGAATGCAGGAGATATATATATGATGATGACATATATACAAAACCATCTTAGTCAGGTTATATACATTATTATGTGAAGAACATTCGCTGGGGGAATCCACGTAAGATCCGTGTTAAGATTCAGCATGAATAGTAATTGGATATAGTTTAGTCGATACAAAGACACGTCGCAGTCCGAATCCGGACATAGACGACAGTTCTCACGTGATATCGATATCTTAGCATGATAATGGAATATGTACAAAAATTGACACATGTAGCTTAGATAAAATACGTGCAAGATAATAGATTTCACGTTATGTCACATTTCATCGACGTGACACTTCATGGATCTCCCGATCCTTTTTGGCTATATTATTTGGTACCCTTTCACGCTCTACCTGACTTCCTCAAACACTACAGTCATGTAACAATGGAAAACTGGCAGGCTTGAAGTGCGAGCGACGAGCTTCAACTAATTAGAACTTCTCGGAGAGAGCGACGGATGCCTATGGCGGGCTACGGCATTAGGCGAATGAAAGGACCAGTACAATGTCTTCCATCTTACTTCTCGCTCTCTCGTGCTTGTCATTGTGGGCCCACGTTAACAATGATTATTCTAACAATCCCCGTCTCTTATTCACATCTGGATCGTCGTTCGTTCCAGGTTCTTGGATCAGGAACGTCATTACCAGGAGATGGCAACATAGATCAATTGCCTAATATCCTGCTTTTCCATCACCTAGCCAGCGCCCAATGCCCCACATTGACGACAAGTCAAATTTGTATCATCATCATCATCCTGTGCCAGCATGGAATTATAGATCATGACTTTCTCGGGAATAAACAACAACACTTGATGTCTGAAACGCAAAAAAAAAATCAAGCATGTGAGAGATCAACGACCATTTGGCCGATTTGTTCTATTCTTTTCATATCGAGCCAAGGTGACATGGAAGTCATCCATCCACCCACCGCCCTATTGACTCTGTGATGTTGCAGCAATCGACTCGACACCGAGTCGGTAATGGAAACTCATGGCCACCGACGATGGACCAGAGAGGAACCCGTGAATAAATTCACCTGAGTCAGATTACCAGGTGGAGATAGACCAAGGTCTGTCTCCACCTGGAGATACCCATCGGTGAAGATATTTTCGGTGTTCTGGCCTGTTAAGACCATTAGATAAAAAACAAGAGGCTCGAGTGTTCTCACGCAGTATTGATAAATTGTGGTGGTGAATTTTTGCCACTTCTTGTGGTTGCTGAAAGTGATGCAA